CGGCAACCTTCATACTTAACCGTGTGCTCTCAAAATCAGTCACTTCCACACCCTACGAGTTATGGACGAAACGCAAACTAGATCTAAGCATCCTAAGACCATGGGGGTCAGCAGCGTATATCCATAACAGTTCCCATGAGTATGGGAAACTGGGCCTTAGAGGAAAGAAATGTATCTTCATAAGCTACTCTAAACAATCAAAGGGATATGTTTTCATAGGTGAAAATGAAGATGGAACGGTGACTGAAATAGAATCAAGGGATGCAACATTCATTGAGGCTGAATTTCCTAATAGAGGAGATGTTAACCGCACTATTTCTCTTTATGAGACATAGGAACAAGACAGTGCAAAACAAATTGGCAAACCAGAATCATCTAGATGTGTCAATCTGAGTGGGAGCCAAGAAAGGTCAACACTGAGACCTGAACAAAGAAAGAAATATAAACAAACAGCTCTCGTCAGAAGGAGTAATAGGGAAAGTATTCCCAAAAGACGCTTTCAAATAAAAGGTGAATCTGTCTCAGTTACTCTAAACGGGGATGATGAGCCTCGTTCTGTATGAGAAGCCTTGTCAAGTCCTGTCAAGGAGGAATGGAAGAAGGTGATGGAAGAAGAAATGGACTCGATGCGAAAGAACCAAGTTTGGGTGTTAGTTGATTTCTAAAAAGGCGTAAAGCTATTGGGAACAAGTGGGTTCGCAAGATTAAAAGAAAAGTCAATGGATCAATTGACAAATATAAGGCTTGATTAGTGGCAAAGGGATACACACAACAGGAAGGCGTAGATTATGAAAATGCGTTCTCACCTGTTGTGCGTTTCAACTCTATTAGACTTATTCTAGCAATAGTAAATAGTTTAGACCTAGAATTACATTAGATGGATGTAAAAGCCGCATTCTTGAATAGTGATCTGGATGAAGAAATTTATATAGAACAACCATTAGGTTTCATTGAAAAAGAAAAGGAGAACAAAGTTTGTAAACTCAAAAGGTCCATTTATGGATTGAAACAATCATCCAGATAGTGGTATTTGAGGTTTCACAAAGCAATAACCTCATATGACTTCAAAATGATAGATGAAGACTACTACGTCTACATTAAGCAGTTTGAGGGTAATTTTGTAATATTATCCTTATATGCAGATGATATACTATTGGCCAAAAATAGTCTAGATTTGGTGATAGCCATTAAAGAATGGCTTTCATCGAATTTTGAGATGAAAGATATGGGCGAAACAGAGTATATACTTGGAGTTAAGATCCAAAGAAATTGTTCAAAATGAATCCTCTATCTTTCACAAGAGAATTAGATCAACAAGATTCTTGAGTGATTCAACATGAAAGACTGCAATCCCATGAGTACCCCGGTTGCTACTGGAGTGGCCTTAAGTCCTGACATGTATCCCAAAACTGAGTCTGACAAAAAGAAAATGGAAAGAGTTCCATATGCCAGTGCTGTTGGCAGTTTGATGTACGCAATGATGTGTACAAGACCAGATATCTGTTATGTGGTGGGACTGGTAAGCAGATTCCAATCTAACCCCAGTAAAAAGCATTGGAAAGCAGTGAAGAGGATTCTGAGATACTTAAAGGGCACTTCTAATTATGCACTGCGCTACAAAGCAAGCGACCTGTGCCTTGTTGGGTACTTCGATACTGATGTAGGCCGAGATGAAGAAGAACGAAGGTCAACTTCAAGTTATACCTTCTTGCTAAACAATGGCGCTATATGTTGGAGCAGCAAGAAGCAAACGTGCATTGCCTTACATTCAATGGAAGTCGAGTTTGTGGCATGCACCGCAGTAGTACAAGAGGCTTTATAGCTGAAAAGGTTTATAGAACACCTTGGATTTGGAAACAAGAGTACCAATCCGGTGTTAGTACACAGTGACAACACTGCAGCTATGACCTATACTAAAGATCCTAAATATTACAGCAAAACCAAACACATTGACATCAAGTATAATTTTGTTAGAGAATATATAGCACAAAAGATTGTTACTATACAATACATTTCAACCAAATGTATGATAGCAAATCCTCTGACAAAGCCAATAGGTGAAAATGTTTTTAAAGAACATGTGCAAGCCCTTGGCATGCGTAAAGTATAATATGCAAACCTCATTAATGAAATTATATTTTTCCGTCATCACTTTATGTGTTTGTTCGAAAGTATACAATGTCTAGTATGTCATACAGGTTAAAAAGGTTGGCTCTCTCACACAGGCAACCGCCTTTAACACTCAGGTAGAGTGAGCAAAGATGAAACATTTGTGTTCACCAGTAAAGTAGCAAAGAATGTTGATATGGTGGGGAAGAAACACAAACTTTATGTTGCCTTGACTAAAGTGTAGCAAATCAAGATGAGATCCACGTTAATAAAGTTAGATCAAAATTTGGAATCCCACTTCCATAATACTTGTAGTGAAATAACAAACTCTTCAACATCGACATCGTAGATATGAGCAGAGATGAAGAATTTGGGTTTAGATACTAAGTGTGTCTGGACTTAAGTTTGTACGATGTTAATGATAAGTCCAAAATGACATATGCTTTTATAGTGAAAAAGTAACACCATAGCATGTGTTTCATAGCATATGTGCTAGAAGAATCGCAAAAGGCAAGCGAGTAAAAGATCCCTGCTTCATTGTTGTGTGAGTCCCAAGGAGGAATTATCCTCCTGTTGGTGTCCCTTGACTTTGACAATATCACGAAGATATGTTTCAGTGACTGCTACTTCGGCATGTGTCCTATGGTCATGATAGATGCGATCTAAAGTATTATGCTAGGAAAGCGATTGATTTATATCAAAGTAATATTTGGGCAAAAGGAAGATTAACTGCAATATACACATCTATGCTAGTGTCCGTAACATGTCCCTTATAACATTTTGTTGTCGTAAGTGTGAACACTAGACATACGAGAAAGGTAATCTGAGTCAAATATTGACTCGAGAGGGATTAGATTTACCATAAAAAAGTGTATATAGGTAAATCTAAGATATCTGTGGCATAACATTAAAATTCAAGCTACACAAAGGAGAGGGTGATTTGTGTTGATCCTATAAAAAGGATTTCTAGTACAGGGACCCAAGTGAAAACATCCTACCCACGCGGTCACAGCAAAGCACTAAGTATGAAATTGAGGGGAGACGAAGAGACTAGACCCACGACATCCAATCCACCAAGTGTGAGTGGGAGATGTAGGAAAATAGGTCAGTCCACCCTTGGTAGATTGGGCCCAAGCCCATTTGTATCGGGACTTTGATGCAAATAAATAGGAAATTTGGGTCTTAATTCGCCATTTTATATAAATTGCAAAAAAAAATATATAAAAAGGAGGGACAGTTATCTCTTAACCGTGAGGAGGCAGTTTTACTTTCAAAAAAGTGAAGTTAATAAACAGCCAAGTGCATCATTTTCGCACGAATGAGTTTTGGTTTCCTCCCTCCTATTCTGACTTCTCCCTCCTTCCACAAAAGAGTGCATTTGCTATGTAACACTTATCCGAGTTCACTACCGTAACTAGACTTCCGCGTAGCTATCTAAAGGCGTGGAACACTCCAAGTATGCCCGAAAACCATTACATTGTCATCCTCACCACTGATCGCATTATCAATTATATCCTTGTTTAAGAAGGGGCATATTTAGTTTTTCTCTGAAACTTGATCATCGACAAAATTGGTGCACCAAACGCCTAGGACAATGTGATATCCTTTGGATGTTTGATATCAAGAGATATTTTGTCAAGGCTGAGGTGAGGTTAAAGAGAATTAAAAACTTTTTCTGAGCAGTAATGAACACTGATAACAAACATTTGACGAAGCCGTGACGTGTAAACCAGAAAAAATATAAAAAGCTTCAACACTTCTTGAGCAGGGTAGGCCCTCATCAAATGGAGACATCCGCGTTTCATTTGAGCTTTCGGTACTATTTGAGATGGGATAAATGGAGAGAAAGGTAAGGAAAGAAAATTTTTAATAAACTCTATTTAAAATGTTGAAAAATGGCGTTTTAAAATTTTAATAGAAAAAATAATATAAAAGAGTAATAAAAATTAATTAAAAGCTTTTAACTCTATTTTTTTAATTTTTAAAATTGAGCTTATTAATATTTTCTATTCCCTCTCCTTTCATTCTTTCTTGTACCAAATAAACTCTTACCCCTTGCTTGATTGAGAAAAAATTAGGGAGGAAAAAAAACTAAAGAGGAAAACATGAGGAGAAACAAAGTAGGAGAGAAAATAAAGTGAAACCCATGCCTCATTTTCTCTTCAAATTATGGAGAGATTCGGGAAGGAAAACAAGAATTCTATGACTATCCCTTGCTCTCTCTTCCTCTTTATATTTATTTTATAATATTTAAAAAGTTATTCACTTTTTATTTTTTATCTTAAAATAATATTTTTATTAACTAATTTGGTTTTAGAATATAATAATCTGAAAAGATATCTAAACCCAATAACTTAATTTAAATTATTTGATGATGTTAATGTTAGCATAAATTTATTACAATATTTAATTTACTTTCAAATATGATATATTTTAATAAAAATATTTTAGTCATTTAGATATTTACTAATTTTTTTCCCTCTCTATTTCCTCTCATCTATCCAAGCAAGAGAGATCATATTGAAATCACTTATGAACACATTTTGCATAAATCAAGATAAAATTCCTCTCATATATTTATTCGTATTCTGTAAATCACGACTGAAAAACTACCCAATATCTTCCCTCCAATTTTTCCTTTTGTGTATTTTCTCCCCTCCTTTTTTTTTTTCCTCCCAACTTTCTTTCTCGTCCAAAGAGAACATCAGTCTCCCGCTACAATCATTCCTAGTTTTAGTGCTTCTAAAGCGGAGGGAGAAATTTCAAGGCAAGCAAATGAAACGACATGTCGTCTTAGAATGCAAGCTCCGAACAGCTTCACATACGTGATGAATACCGAGTTGCCTGTATTGAATTAGGACGAGCACCAAATCCGACCTCCACAGCCAACGGACCAGAAAAATTTTCCCGCTTACATTAGTGGGGCCAATAAGTATGAGGATACATGCATTTTATAAGACCAAGCGTCATGCTACAACATATTCATTTGTCTGTATGACTCAAAATCTAAATAGCCTGGGGGTCCATTATATCCATACATGTCAAAAACTTTATTATCATCTGAAGGCACTAAAGAAGAGCCTTCTCTTCCTTTAAACCCATCAAGAGGCGAAGCCCAAGGAGTTCCCTCTTGATTCATTCCCAATGCAGTTGGATTCTGGGGTGAGTTCCCTGCAGCCCTTCTGTTTGAGGAACTCGACGTCAACGAAATAGACACTGATTGTTGCTGCTGCTGTTGCTGGTTCTTCATTGGTGACTTTGGACGTAGAGACTCAATTTCAGGCGTAGTCACAACCAAATGAGGTGCCTCAGGAGGCGGATTTCGTCCTCCACCTCCCTGCCATACTTTACCATCTTTATCTGTGAAATTCTTGGTATACGCCTGAATTCATACAAAAACCCAAAGGGTGTGGTGAATAAGCAAAGAGAACCCCAAAGACAAAGTATGGATAAGTAATACTTAATGCCGACAGCATTAAAGTGAAGAGCAATGAAATATTACTATCAACGGAGAAGCAGAGAACAAGACTCAAATCTTGTATCATTCAACCAAAAGAATTTCCAATGAAATCTTCAGAAAAGTACGCAATTTAACTAATTTATGACATCATATAATTAAAGACTGGAGTTCCATTACATCTGTTTTAGCCATCGAGTTCCTCTCAGGCCAGATTTATTTTGCATTCAATTCCAAAGAGAACGCTGGAAATCTTGTTTTTCCACTTTACACCCTTTCCTTATAGAAAGCTACAGTTTATTAGCAAGAAAAACCACACCATGTGACTCCCTCTCTACCACCCACCCTAGTAGGCCATGGCCCAAATCCTGATGGACATGAGTCCATCAGGTAAAGATATCCTAATGGAGTATCCATCAAGCAAATTTAAGTGCATATATCAACCAGATATCAAAACAAGTTAGAACGCACAAAAATGACTCGGTAAAAAAATTTGAAAAAAATCATAAATTAAAATAGAATGAGGATGAGACAAAATAACCAACTACAGTCTAAGTACACGGCATTTTGATAGGCCCTTCATTTCAAATTTCTCACCTCCGCATTGAAATTTGTAGATGACAGTCCTTTACCAACAGTTACCCAACCAGCTCGAATATTGTGGTCTTCACCAAAGAGTTCAAGCCTCCTCCTTCCAAGGGCAAAGTGCTCAATAATCCTATACATATCTTCAGGCTTTTGTGTTGAACCTGCAACATAAGAACAAGGATTTGATGAGATGTCCATTTCATGATTGCATATGAAGATTGGAATTATGAAGGAGCAAAGATAAAATGAATTTATAAATTGTTGAAACATCCTAGAAAGTGATTCTCTAATGGATCTATAATTCTAAGCAAATTAATATCAACGGCAATAATTATTGACGGCTGAATCTCCTTTCATATAATCACAATTTATTGCGCACTTGAATGCTTTCTCCTTTTTTGTACACACAACACTCCTGCCAAGTACTCCCTCCGGTCCTTATTATAAGGACTTTTAACCTGTCTCTTCATGTAAGATGTTCCATCTAACGTAGTAAATTTCTCCATCTGACATACCTAAAAAACTACAGAACTTTGTAATTAAACAAATTCTTCTAACTAATAACTTTTATTGAAGGTAATTTTGACATTTTATAAGAAATAACTAATTTTAAATAACTTCCTTAATTTACATAAAGTTATGATAGGAATTTTAAATAACTTCCTTAATTTAAATAAAGTTGTTAACAGGTGCTTATAAATAGTACTGGAGGGCGTAATGTTTTTAAATTTTAGTCTCTATAAATTAAGGCTTAACTTTCTCATCCCCTATTCTTAATTATCTGTTTAAAGCCACCCAACTGCACTCAATACTTCTCTAGTTCAGTTAATATACTAGAGCAGACAGCCATCCATATCCCACCCGTGGCCAACTAACTTGCCATTTCATATTTTTCTTTTTTAAACTAGACGCTCCAATCCTTAGTTTAAAGTTAGGAACCAAAAGCATGTGTTCACATCACTTCACACGCTTAAATAACACTACACTGTCACCTGATGATGGACTGGATTATATTTCACATTTTTTTAAGGACCTGGCTTTGAAGGGGGTCAAGCCATGTCCAAGAACTTAATGGTGAAAAAAAATATCATGCTTAGTTCAACTTAAAATGAGAAACAACGAATAAACTGAACGAGTTGCCTAGAACTAGCTAGGCAAAGAAATAATTACCAAGTAACGATATAATAGCCTATGTGCAAATTTAAGCAACCGACCTACCCCTCAAATCTTTTACTTTGAACACTGAGCTTACAGTGCTAGGAAACAAGTGAGATAAAAAGTAGGGAAAAACATTAGGTTCTGAACGCAGTCAGTCTAGCAAATACTTTAAAACGGATAAATAAACAAAAATTATCAAAACAATAAAGACAGCTGCGACACTCAGAGAACTAATTAGAAATCTGAAAAAAGTCACTTTCTATGCATATGGATAAAGAGACAAACAAATTACTATGGTGCATGACTCTTATTCTCCATCTTCACTAAAGTCAGACATAAAATATTCGGTGTATATTATCCATTAGACAACAACAAAATTAATGGTTCTGGTGAGTTTAAAATTATTATGCTTATATCCACATTCCCTTCCTTTCTCCCTTTGTCTATCTCCCCCTCCCTCTTCTCTACTGTTGGCTTTACTAAGTGGGCTTACGCCATCAACATTTGACCAATTATTTTCTTGTTGCAATGGGCTAGCGCAAATCTTTTCACCTTTAACACAATCTCTTGCATCCTAGTGGTGCCCCTTCATCACTCAAACTTTTTTCCCCCAACCATCCCTCAAAGTCAATTAAATCAGCTGACACAATGTGCAGAAGATAGAATTAGTGTTTTAGTCTTGAAACCACCCTTGTGTTAATGGTTGTCTCCATAGTGATCCATCCTAAAATCAAAGGAGAATCTAAATGCTTACATATGTTATCCTTAGTTCAAATCTGCTTCCGCAGTACGTTTTTTTTTCCTACACCCTAATTGTCCTCTTCCTTTTCTTATTCAGCCATGAGAAGCCAAAAGTGTTCATTTCTTGCTCCTTTGGTTGCTCGAAACATCTCAACATCAATATCGCAGCACAAATAAATCCCCTTCTTACTTTCAAGGCACAAGACAGTTAAGAGACTTCGTTCAAACAATGTCAAGTTGAGAATGGAAACCTCTTCTTCCCTACATAACATGGCTTGTCAACACGTTTGGCAACATTCATCTCTTGCCTCCATCTATCCTTGTTCAGCCCACTTAACCTTTGGTAGATGGTTTCTAACCACTTGATGGGTCAGATTCTCCAATGGGTATTGGGCTATGGGTTAGTAAACTTAACCAGGCAGCTTTGAGATTCTCCACTTCGATGGCCTTTGGCATAGTGCATCAGCTAGGCTTTGTGGTGCAATTTTCAACTTAATACTTTCCTTTTCTTTCCCCACTGTACAACTTCAGTTACTTGATGATTTTATTACTTTAGCCTTCGATTTTGCCAAGTTTTCCCCAAAAAATGGTGGAAGCTTTGACTGATGATCTTTGGTAGATTACTTCTTAACTCCGTCTCCATTTCTATCTCTTCCTTCGAGCATCTTATAAATCTTCAAGTAGCCTCTTACAATTTCTTTCTATCATTTCTTTCATATCTTTATTCATGCATTTCAAGCCTCCCGTCGAGTCCCTCAAGTTGTCCTCTCATAAGTACATTCTTCCTTCCATCCTTTTATTCACTATATACCAAAACAAAATTTTTCGAGCACCAAATGATAGGAACTTGACTTTTTCTACAAAACAGGACAGACTGTGCTGGATATAGCTAAAATAACTCAGGCCACAAGGTCCTAATCATGTAAACACATCAATCAAAACAGCATTTATTAAACATAAGCCCAACCTAGAGAAACATCCTGGATAGTCCAGCACAGTAGCCTTCAAGCCTACAAGGCCATAAAGACCAATACATGCAACATTTGAATATTTTTTTCTATTACCCAGATTTCATCCACTATGTATGATAATTAACACACCGCATACCAAACCCCACCCAAAAACCTGCAGAACATCGATTTGGTTAAGTTCAGTAGTCTGGCTCGTTACAAAAGTCTATAACAGACAAATGATATACATCTGACTTCCGATTTACAAAGAAACAAGTTTATAGGAACATGCCATATTAGCAATCTTCCTCAGATTGTGCTCAGACAGTCATGTAAGTAGGCATTACTTGAAACATTGTTTTGCACTAACATATGAAAGTTTAATAAGAAAATGCAAAACATTGCCAACGCTTGAGTAGGGATGTGTATTTTTGGGAAATTGCAAGAATTTCGAAAGTCCTTTTGATTTTCATAGACCTCAGTTTTCTTTGGTCCCACGAAAATAAGCCATCAAAATTCCTACTCAAATTGAACCATACCGTTTTATTGGCTATGCTCAATCAGAAACCTGATATTCATTTGAACAGTTAAGTTCCTTAAAAACTCTTATGGCTATGCTGCTAATCTCATTTTAATAGAAGACATGGTGTATTGTTGCCACTTCCAAAAAAGTGTGAACTCCAATTCTCAACTAGTTATGTTCACTTTCTCAGCGACTTAATACCGTGAAAGTTGCAATTGTGAGTTGAATCACACAGCAACCAAAAATAACGATGATAATTACAACACAATTACTATCTAAGGCTTAGCCGATACCCATGCCATATCACAAACTAACTGAACGATCATGCCAAAAAAAAAAAAGAAGAAGAACTGATTCTTAAGTTCTAGCTTTTGCGAATACAAACAGATGCAAAGGCTGATTTTACAGACTTCAACAAGTCATCCCCAAAAGACGTAGCAGAATTTATAACTGAAAAGAAAGGAACTTAAGGGATTGAACAAAATATTACTAGTAGGAAAAAATGATTCTTTATTCCATGACCACAAATGATTATACTAACCATAAGGAGGTTCTTCTGCGATAATCACATCAGTGTCAATGTTGGCATGAATTATATGGCCATCAGTACTTCTACGAACAGTTCCTTTTATGCCCATCAAGCAGTGTTCCTTCACCACAATAAAATCAAACATTTCAAGGCAACATGCCATATTATCTATATAGCATTTAAGGAAAGAAAAAAAAAATCATGTTCGACTAGTTGGATGCAGCTGTAGTAGTACAAGATGTAAATTTAAACAGACCTTTGAATGCTGAAACAAAGTATGTGAATCATGCCGCAGTCCTGGAGTTGCATTATTTTTATTTGTCTTCACCCAACATATATCTTCACACCTACGGAATCCCCACTGTAGAACCCCACACAGAAAATGAAACAGAAAGAAATTAATCAGCAGAGCACATGAATAGAATATGATTAGAGCAGCAACCAACAATTAAAGTTCAGTTATAAATATGATTCCAATTTCCAGATGATGTACCTTCTTCAGACATTGACGGCCTTGTTCAAGGCCTACACCATCTCCCACCCAAAGGAAGATGAATGAAGGCGTGTCAGCTATAGCCTTAAGGAAAGAAAAGATGAAAAATAAATTAGATTTCTCAGCTAAAGATTAAAGTACAAATACAATGCACTTAATAGTGAAAAACAAAAAGGAAGGTGACTTTCAATAGTAATAAATCATGTTCTAGTACATACAATCAAATAGATTGTGCATAAGCCATTCTAATATGAGAGCACTCCAACAGGGAGTACAAAATCCGTAAAAGCACCAAGGAAAAGCAGAATCTCAAATTCCTTAATACATCATCAATTGCATGGCAAGAAATGATTATACACAAACAGCCCTAACAGGAGAATGTGCTGCAAATATAGGGGGAAAATCTTACCTCAATCTTAAGATTCATTATTTCTTCAAATGTCCAGTACCCCATATGGTCAGCAACACCAGGAGCACGGTGAACATACTCTTCCCAGGGGGGATCCACAAGAATGACATCAAACTTAGTTCCAAAGAACTCAGGAGACAATTCAAACTCTTTCAGATCACATTTAAAATACATGGGAGGAGAAGCAGATTTTGCAACAATCTCATCCTTTTTCTGTATAAGCTCCCTAAGCTTAGGATAATCTTCTACAACGTTTGTTAGTTCAAGTTCCCGAATAAAATTCTGTGGCCTCATACCAGTGTCAACGAAGTTTTGAGAATAATCATTCTGTTCGCCTCTAGAAGGAGCTTTACCAGGAGCTCCACCACTTTTTGGAGGAACCCATCCCCCAGGAGATTTATCAGATGATGTTCCTCGAGTCATTTGTCCTGCAGGATTGAAGCCAGGACTAGATATGACAGGGGAAGCTCCTCTACCAGGGCCTGATTGGTTATAATACATTGCCGGGTTTGGGGGGTTCCCTAAGTTAGTAGGAAACCTTGGGCCACCAGGTGGCATGGGAGAAAGACCAGGTGGAACAGCTAGCATATTCATATCAACACCTCGAGCACCTGGCCAAACTGGTGGACTAAATGGTGGAATGAAAACTCCAGGGGGTGGACCAGGAGCAGGTGACATGCCAGGGGTAAGAGACTGCATTGGTCCAGGTGGAGGCATTGCAAGAGGGCCAAATGGTGAACCTATCATTGGTAGTGGCATTCCAACTTGTTGGTTATCTCTTCCAGTTGGCCTAACCCTTCCTCCTCGACCAACCCTATTCCCTTTTACTCCATGTGGACCAGCTCTGTTGTATGATCCAGACTCTTGGTTTCCATGCTGAGACTGTGAACCACCACTGCTAGAACTTTGAGCCCCAGAACTACGACCAACCACAGCACCTTTCTGACTTCTCCCTCTTCCACCTTGAATGTCATAGTCATCATCAGTATATCTGTCCTTCCATTCTTCACTAGGAGTTCCAGCCCCACATAAATCACTCTTCCTTGCTTTGTCTTCATGCAGATATGACCATTGCTCATCACTTGCACCTGATTTAGCATCATATTGTTGATTTACTTCAGTTTTCCTATAGAAATTGGACACAGATTCTGCTTTCCCATAGTCAATAGGCTTGGTTTGGATCTCTATCACATCATAGTTGTCATTTGAAATTCCAAAATTTGATGAAGTTTTAACTGCCTCACCTCTACTTCCATCTTTTCTACCACCAGAGCGACCATGAGGCCTTTCATTGTCAATTCTCTCCCGACCATGTCTCGGCAATTCCCATTCTCTATTTTGATCAAAAACAACATCACTATTTTTTGACTCTTTATCAGTACTACTTGATTGCCTCCTTCTCCAACTCTCTTTAGAACTTTCTCGATCCTTATTCTTGTCATCCCTATAACCATCTTTCTCAAATTCCTTCCTTTTAAAGCTACTGCTCCTTTCATAATCAATATCTGAGTTTTCTGAATCTTGGTGACGTCTACCACTTCTCTCAGGCGTCTTGGATCTATTTGTGTGCCCGACTTCTCTTGATGTTTTATCCCTACCACGCATATTTCCATCTTCATCTACATTTAATTGCTTATCCCAACTTTCATCATAATTGGTGGCTGATCTCTGGTGCCTTGACTTATCATATCTGTCCCTTTCCAATCTGTCTTCCCGACTAACCTCTTGAGATTCTAACTTGCCTTTACTCTTGGCTCTCTCAAAATCAGCTCTTCTCTCTTCTTTATTGTTGGATTTGAAAATCTTATCACTAGAATCCAGCCCCCTGCCTTTACCCTCTCCAAGTTCATTTCTAGCAGATGCACTCTTCTCTCTATAACTCTCATACTTGGGATCAGAAGCCACGCCACTTCCAGCATCACCCTTTTCAGAATAATCATCCTCTAACTTCCCCATTGTGTCTGCTTCATCCCATTTTCTTCTTGAACTTCTTACTTGCTCAGAAGACCCATGACCTTTCTCTCTACTGCTTTCCCTCCTTTCTGGGACTTTGTGATCTTTGTCCACGCTTCCAAGCTCATCATGTAATTTGTCCTCATTATTTCTACTTCTATTCTGCGAACTATCATACTCCAAATGCTTTGAAGACATTTTTCTCCTCTCACATTCATCAGCACGACTATGCGCTCTACTGACTATCTTATTATCCCCACCATCTTGCTTGTCTGATTCTCCATCCTGATACAAACTGCTCAACTTTTCCAATGTGCTTTCCTCTTGCCTTTTCTTCAATTGTTTAGACCGCAAATCTTTCCTACAATCGTAATCATTGTCATCACTGTCAGCTCTGCTTGAGCCGCTAGACCTCTTCCTCGTCTCACCTCTATCACCAGAACTCTTTCTTCTTCCACTGCCACCTAAACCATCAATCTCTTCCGCATTCCCCGATTTTCTTGACCTGCTTGACTTGTGCTTCTTCCTATCACTGTCCTCCCACTCATCATCACCAACCCTGTCACTCTTCACATCTGAGCTACCAACCTCCCGCTTCAAAAGACCACGAACGCTTTCAGGTGAATCCATTTTGGGCTGAACAAAGGTGAAAGAAAAATAACCCAACTAGTATTTCTCTTCACAATTCAGCTACCTTCCATTTAACAAGAATAAGTGAAAAAAAACACGTTGCCCCGAAAAAAATGAAACAATTGCGCAGATGAATCCCCAAAATTTTTCACTTAAAGATTGTGTCTGTATATACCCATGTATACTGAAGAAAAGAAAGCTTCGCCAAAATCTCACTATTTGCAACCCTAAGAAATAGAGCAGCCGTTTGGTTGAGTTCGGATGCTTGTGCTAATTAAAAACTAAAAGGCTGAAACTTAGCGAAGTGCAGCCCGCAAGAACCGAAGCAACATTGAGACTAGAGTTTGGTGCAGATATTCTCTTCCTGAAAAATTTAAAGCGAAAGTTAGAAATATATGAAAGAAAAATAGAGAGAAATAGGACAAGCAAACCAGAAATCTTGAAAATTTACATTGAGAATCCATTCAAAATACAAAAATTGTCCAAAAAGATGGACAATTGTCCAAAAACCATTCGAGCAAGAATAGACAGTCCTGATCAAAAATTGAAGGATTTACTTTGTTCGTATGATTCCCATGTAGACGAAGGCAGTGAGGCCGAGGATGCCAACGAGGTCCAGTTGCGGCGAGTCCATCAAAAGCTATTCCTCTAACAGTGCCCAAGATCCTTAATGTTCCAATTCTTGTCCCCTTCCATTCCACTTCTAACCTTCCTTGATTCTCCTGCTCAGTTCCCCACTTTCTTTTTCTCTCTCCCTATCGATTTTGTGGCTTCCTATCTCACTCTCGCTCGCAGCTCCACTCTGTCCCTGCTCCGTCGTCCGTCACTCTTGAGATGGCGCCGAGCAAAAAGAAGGGGACTGTTTTAGGGTTCCAATAATTCACGGATATGGAAACAAGACCCAAGGAAAATAGTAACTTTCTCGAGCCCCTGGAAAGCTACACAGTACATTAGGTTAGCTTCATGAATTTTCATTTTCCCTTTTTTCTGAGCCACCAGGTTCATGAAATTTTAAATTAATAACTAATATCGCCAAAAACTAATAATTCTGGAATATGAATTAAAAGAATATATCAATAATCAAAAGTAACAAAATAATCATAGGGAAAATGACAGATAAAGAAGCTCCAAAATGTGAAATGCCAATTTGGGAAGCTAAGGAAATGTAATTACCCATAGGGAAGTCCTTCTCAAATTGGGATTTTGAAATTTAGTGAAATGACAAAAATGTCCTTTGTTCTTTTTTTTTTTAAAAAAAAAACCAGCCCCTCACCGGTGGTCGGCGACCGGCGACCACCGCCGGCGACTGGCCTCCGGCGGCCGCCGACCGCCTCCGGCCACCGGCGCCGGCCACCGGTGTGGTGGCTGCCGGTGAAGGATTTTTGTGACAAGATTTTTTTTTTTTGGGAATAGGATAATATTGGTTCAAAGTGACGGGGGTGGGATTTGATCCCACAACCCCTTGGCCACTTGGACCAACAAAAGATGGCCATTGGGGATTTCTTAACCTTATAATCAAAAATATAAGTTAACTCTTTTACTGTGACTCCAGCTCCTGACAACAATTTATCTGAGGATGACAAGTCTTAATTGAGAAATAACAAGTCTAAATTTGATCATAATTTATTTAAAAATGACACGTCTTTGTTGAAAAATAACAACAATTTATTCGGTATTTCTTGTTATGTATAACGAAAAGTTGCTTTGTTAATATCAAATTTAGACTTGTCATTTTCCAGTAAAGACGTGTTTTTTTCAAATAAATTATGGTCATTTTTAATTAACGTAGATGCTATTTCTTGTTATGTATAAAGAAAAGTTGCCTTGTTAATATCAATTTAGACTTGTCATTTATAGTAAAGACGTGTCATTTTTAAATAAATTATGATCATTTTTAATTAATGCACATGCTGCTATGTTATGTATAAAGAAAAGTTGCTTTGTTAATATCAAATTTAGACTTGTTATTTCTCAATTAAGACTTGTCATCCTCAGATAAATTGTTGTCACGAGCTGGAGTCACAGTAAAAGAGTTAACTTATATTTTGTTTGCATTATAAGGTTAAGAAATCTTTGATAGCCCAATGGCCATCCTTTTGTTGGTCCAAGTGGCCAAGGGGTTGTGGGATCAAATCCCACCCCCGCCACTTTGAACCAATATTATCCTATTCCCAAAAAAAAAAATCTTGTCACAAAAATCCTTCACCGGCAGCCACCACACTGGTGCCCGGCGCCGGTGGCCGGAGGCGGTCGACGGCCGCCGGAGGCCAGTCGCCGGCGGTGGTCGCCGGTCGCCGGCCACCGGTGAGGGGCTGGGTTTTTTTTTTTAAAAAAAAAAAAGAACAAAGGGCATTTTTGTCATTTCACTGAATTTCAAAATCCCAATTTGGGAAGGACTTCCCTATGGGTAATTACATTTCCTTAGCTTCCCAAAATGGCATTTCACATTTTGGAGCTTCTTTATCTGTCATTTTCCCATAATCATACTCGATTGTTAATTTTTGAATATTAAAAAGAAATTAAATCAAAAGATATGAAAATGCAAACTATTAATTACTTGAAATAAAAAGAGAAAATGACAAATAAAGACTCCTGAATATTAAAATTACGAGGAGGCCACCTAAATAAGCTAAATTACCAAGAAAGACCCGGTCTCAAATTATAATTATGAAATCAGGCTAAAAAGACAGAAATACCCTTCTCTTTCTTCCATCACCCCATCTCTTTCTCTTTCCTTCTTTTCTTTCTCTCCGTCTTCATCCTTTTCTCCCTCTTCATCTCCCTTTCTCTCTTCTTCCTTCTATTCCTCTCCCTCTCAAAACATTCATCTCCCACCTATACATTTATCAATATGATTAAGGTTGTGGCCATTCCCATTAATCTCTATTACAAAAAATATGGTGACTCATCGTTAATGCTGGTCGGCAGAAGTAATCAGATTCAAGTTGATAGCAATAGTATTCTGGAGATGGTATACATAATCAATATTGGAGAGGATGAGATTCAAGCTACCCAAGACGTTACAGGTATATATACTTCATGATTGGCATGGCATGGTCTTGGTGGGTTGCAGTGTGGTCACTGGGTTATACAGTGGAAGAGAATGAAACGTGAAGTTAATGATGGAAAATGTTAGTTGGAGGATGTTATAGTTAGTTTGAGATACACTTGTCACTGAATCTTGTAGAAACTGGTTGCTGTCAAAACACCTCTAGTTTTTTATTATTTGACTTACTATTGTTGTAATTTTACTTAGTAGTATTGTAACTACAGATTGGTTAGTTTGATCACAGCGACATCACATGATAATCTGAAAGTGTCAGTATTTTGTTTATGGACAGAGCAATATTAACATTTACTATTTATAGTTGTTAATGGTATCAATATAGATCCATTTAATGTTCTGAATTGATGACAAACCTCTTCACAGACTTATAATTTCACTTATCACAGTTGTTATTTGGTTTTCCACTCTTGTCGATTGATTTTCATAACTTATCATTCGCCTTATTCAACTTGCCATAAATTACTTATCAGAACTTGTTATCTACTAAAGAAATCTGAAGATTCTGTCACTTGAAAAGAGAAAATTAAATTTTTATAAATTGCTTATCAGAAGTTGTCATTCGCCTTACTAAACTTGTCATTCGTCTTACTAAACTTGTCATTTACCAAGAATGTTTAGCAAGATGTATGACAACTTCTGATAAGCAGCTCATAGGAATTTAAGATTCTGAGTTAAAATGACAATTTGCACAATTCCTTGGCAAATGACAATTTTAGTTTTATTTAGCAAATGACAAGTTCTGATAAACAATTTATGACAAGTTTAGTTAGGCAAATAATAATTTTAGTAAGGCAAATGACAACTTCTGATAAGCATTTCATCCAAATTTAATTTTCTCTGTTCAAATGACAGAATTTCCAGATTTCTTTAGTAGATGACAAGTTCAGTAAGGCAAATGATAGAATTTTTGTGTTTCTATCACTGTATTTCTGTCACCACATTTTTAATTAAGTAGACAACATTAAATAGCTCTACATTATTACAATATAGAATTGATTAACAAAAAATGTTAACATTCCTCTACACAATATAAAAAGACCATCATTATCAGATTGTCATGTGTTTCTATCACTGCCTTATTGTCATAATAGTTAAAAGTCTGTATTAACAACACTAGCAAGCAAAATTACAACAATAGTGATCATTATACTCTCTCCAATATATTTAACTCCCCCTTCATCACTTGCTTCAGAATGTCCACCAATATGGACATAACGTAACAAATTCTGTGTTTTTGTCATGGCATTTCTATCATCACAAGATGATTGTTTTTGACTTTAGAAAATCACAACTTAAGTATAATACATGACAAGTTAAGTATATCAAATTATAACTTCGTTTATTTTCAGATTTCTTTGGCGAATGACAAGTTGAGTAAGACGAATGACAAGTTGAGTAAGGCGAATAACAACTTCTGATAAACAATTCATAAAAATTTAATTTCTCTTTTTAAATAACAGAATTCTTAGATTTCTTTAGTAGATGACAAGTTTTGATATGTAATTTATGACAAGTTGAGTAAGGCGAATGACAAGTTATGAAATGACAAGAGTGGAAAGCCAAATAACAACTATGGTAAATGAAATTATAAGTCAGTGAGGAGGTCAGTCATGAATTTCAGAACATTAAATAGATCTACATTGATACCATTTACAACTATAAATACTAAATGTTAACATTGCTCTGCCCATAAACAAAATACCAACATTTTCAGATTATCATGCCATGTTGCTGTGATCAAACTAACCAATTTGTAGTTACAACACTACTAAGTAAAATTACAACAATAGTAAGTCAAATAACAAAAAACTAGAGGTGTTTTGACAGCAACCAGGAACTCTAAATCAAATGAGGAGATTATCGATTCCCAGATACAAGTAAACAAAAAGAAGACAGTATTCAACCAGACAATCCTCAAAACCTTGAAAATATTCAAACCAGCGAACCCTGTAGCTTCTAGCAACAACTTAAAGAACTCAGCCTTCTTCTTCTTTGCTAACAGAGAAAACGATTCATAAGGTTGATCGTGTAACATCCAAACTTTGGGACCTAGAAGTACTAGAAATAGCCTAAATTGGATAGGCTACTAGACTCCTTTTGAGCAGAAGTCCCAAAGATGAGAAAGGAAAACAAAGCAGTTTCAGGGACTAAACTGCAAAGTAAAAATTTTAAGGGGCTAAAGTGTAATCAAAGTTAGAGGCTCCAGTAAAGTCTCGAAGGCCCAGAGAGAGAAAAGAGACTAGATACAGGCCAAAGGTTAAGCTAGAAGCCTCAAAGAGAGGATTATATGAAGCTAAGTCCAAGAAGGGACTAAACTGTAAATTCAGAAAGTTATGACCAACAGGGTAAAAATGGAAGAGTACGCAGAGAATTCCAAGAAAATCCTAGAAAATGGGAAATAATATTCTAAGGCTCTTCTGTGAAGAGAAAAGATGAAAATACCCCTGAGGCAGCTTCAACGGAATTTATGAGGTTATTACCGGTAAAAAGTATACCATGTGAGGTAATTATTTAAAATAGCAAGAGACCTCAAAAATGTATACAAAAATGAGGTTAAATGGTTGAAAGGTTGTATTAATTTATAAAGTTAGTCCCGCAACCAAAAGGCCAATGGAGTGGCTTTAATAAATTAAAGAGCCGGTTTTGCCAATAAAAGGGTATTTTGGTAAATGAATTTTTATGCAAGGTTTAAAGGAAGTGTTATGGCCTAAGAAAATTTATAGATATTCTCTAGAATTAAAGGGAATTTATAAAGCAGACAGAACAATTTTCTAAGCTCCGGAAGGCCATAAAAGAAGCCGGAGAAACATGGGCCAAGTAAATTCGGAGGAATTA